CAACGGTCATAATGCAGAACAAGGAAATAGCAGCAAAAGAGGAAGGGAATTATCTGTCATAATTCCTCAACTGTCATAATGCAGAAATTAAGCAACGGTCAAAACAACAATCGTCTGCATAATTCCAGGCGTGGAAACATGTCATGTAAATATTATATATACATATGTCATTATACATAACAAACATGCAAATCTGAATATAATTCAGTATTCTCCTTTTTATCACTGTTCTTAATTTCTCTTCATGGTATCAGAGCAGTGCATTATCTGCATCTGAATACTTTGATTTTCCTTGTTTTTCAAATCAATCGTCCATTGAACTTTATAGCAAATATTGCTAGCACTCAATCATGGCTAAGAACAAGAGCATGCTTACAATCCAAAGCTTCCATCAAATGGCAAGTTTGGTCTCTGTGAAGCTGTCAAGTGCCAATTTCTTACTCTGGAAATCACAGATTTTCCCATTGATAAGAAGCGCTCAACTCATACACCACTTTGAAGAAGAAGCTCCAGCAATGAGGATTACTAAAGACGGTGAGGAAGTACCAAACCCAGACCATGATGTCTGGCTTAATAATGATGGATTACTGACCAGTTGGCTCCTCGGCACAATGAAGGAGGAAGCACTCAGCTTGGTGGTTGGTTGTGACACAGCTTTTCAAATCTAGAAGTGTCTTGAGGAACATTATCTAGCTTCAACAAAGGAACAAGAATTGCATCTCAAGGGGCAGCTAGCAACCAAAAGAGGAGATAATGAGTCACTTGAGGATTTTATAAGGAAATTCAGAGGGACTTGTGATAGGCTTGCTGCAATCCACAAGCCCCTTGATGATCTAGACAAGGTGTTCCAATTATCCAGAGTTGTGGGAATAAGATACCAACCTTACAACCTTGCTGTTTTGTCAAAGGTAGCATATCCCACCTTCAACCAGTATATTGCAAGATTGCTAAACAATGAACGGGATATACAAGCTTCAAAACAAGAAAGCAAAGACAAGACTCCAACATATGCTCAAGTGTTTGTAGCACAAAGGGGGAGAGGTAACCGAGGTAGAGGAGGATATGGTAGCAGGAATTTCAATTCTCGTGGAAGAGGTTTTGTCTAGGCAGGAAATTACAATCATAATTGGACCAATAATAGCAGAAACAACTTAACAAACTACAATCCAGCACCTCAGGAGGCCATTCATAAAAAATTTCAACAGAAAAATGCAACACAAAAAGGTGAGAACCCCTGTCAAATATGTGGGATTACAGGACATACAGCACTAAAGTGTTGGTATAGGTTTGATCATGCATATCAAAGTGAGGAGCTACCACAAGCTCTTGCAGCACTCACAATGATGGAGGACAAAGATAAAAATGTCTACATTGACATTGGTGCCACTGATCACATGACTGCAGATCCAGGTAAACTTTATATCAAAAGACCCTATCATGGAAATCAAAGAGTTTTTACGGGTGATGGCACCCCATTACAAATTTCACACACTGGTAAAGCATTCATTGGTTCTTTAAAGCTAAATGATGTTCTTGTTGTTCTTAATCTCAAGAAAAATCTTATCTCTATTGGCAAATTTACTGATGATAATCCTTGCATATTTGAATTCTCATCCAATGGTTTTGTGATTAAGGATCAGGTGACACAAGTAGTGTTAGCAAAAGGAACTAGGAAAGGACAATTATATGCACTTGAAGAAGGAGAAAAATTCACTCTTGTAGCCATCTCAAATGAAGCTATAGACTCTATATGAAATTAGAGACTTGGACACCCTAACTCCAATGTTTTAAAAACTTTAGCTTCTA